TGAAACCTTACCACCATTTGAAGCACTTCTTTCCACTGTTCTCTGTCTGGCTCTGTTTTCACATAACTTGTAGGCTCATAACTCCCTGTAAGACCTCTGCCTCTCTAGGTTAGATCTGCTAATCGGCCAATAAACAATAAGAAACAAAAGCACATATAGAATGAGTTTATGAACTCTCTACACAGGAAACCAGGAAAATTGCATGGACTGATTGCAAATTTGTTTTTCCACTACAGGAATGTTTACTTTTTAATTAAACAGTTATTTTCTTTGAAATATTTTGTATTTTCCTAAAGAGAAAAAAACAACCTATGAAGAACGGGTGTTCATATGCACATGAAAAGATTTTCAAGAAACTTTTCACTTTGACATTTCTCAGTGAAAGACACAATGTAATTTCCACCTTTACAATATCATAGCAGGGTCGGTGCAAATGCAATCTAATATCTTTGCACCAGCACAACGCTGGTTTCATTCTGGCTTTACAGTGAGCAATATTAGCTTATGTTATTTGAAACTCTGTGAACAATTGACATGGTCCTTGAAAGACTGTCCATTACAGCATCACACTTTTGAGAAACACTGTGTCTGTGGAGGCTTCAAACAGTATGTCATTTTTACTGTCTTTATACAAGAAGGAATCAGAAGAATAGTATTAGGGATAGAATTTTTATTCCCATTTGTTCATCTTGTTTCAAAAAGGAAGCCATAGAAGGATTTCTTTATGAAGAAAACAACAAAACAATGGAAGGTGATGCTTTCCCTCTGAAAGTTGATTGGTGCCCTGCATCTCAAAGAACCATCCACTGCCCTGCTTGGAGTATTTTCTTGGACTTGGGTTCTCCTAAATAGCCATTGTCATGACACAAAGCAACACAGGCATCAAAACTTGTCCTGTAGGGAAACTTTGAATTCAGATTCCTGTTTTGCACCTATGAGGTGTTGGTTCTTTCTGTACCTCAGTAAGAAAAAATCCTCACTTGAATCTTTAAGTATAATACAATTTTTAATCTGAATAATCAAAGACAGGAGCATAATAAAAGACTAGCAGTTAAATCTTACATCCTTTCTGATGCTGGGAACCCCAAGATGGTACAGCATTGGATGGAGCTCTCAGTCAGGACACAGCACACTGTGCAGAACCCACCTGTGGTGAGGTCATCAGCATTTTAGTCTGTAGAGGTCTTGTAGGATTTTCTTAGAAGAAAAATGACTCTATTAATCATTCCTACTGTCAAGCAAAAGGATGTGGCATGATCCTTGGTGCCAAGTGGGAGCTGCCTGAGGGTTCCTCTGTTACAATTAGCTGGCTAAGTTTATTCTATGGTCAAGGGATACATTCAGCACAGCACAGGCCTGTGCCTACTCAGTTCAACTCTTATGTGGACCACCAACTCCTTGATGTAGTCTTCCCATTAGGATCACTACAGATCCACGTTCAATATTTTCCTGATAACAGAGGGAAGAGGAAGAAACTTGCTGTTCAGTTACTTTCCAGCCTCCTTGAATCCCTACAATACATCGCCAGAGCAGATAAAATCCATACTGATTAATCTTGATAATCCCATTATGGCCAGCACAGTCATAAGATGATATCATCTGGAGTTTATTACAGCAGGGCTGAGTCAAGCTGGGCCTCAATCAGCAAGCTTGCCAGGTTTCAGTCTCTGAATCATTGCTGCTAACAACTATATCACTCATCCATGAATGTGATTCTGATTATGCATGTGAATGGATGTCTATTCAAATAAAATAACTTGAACTGCTGCAATCTTTGGAATCATTTTCTCTCAACAGTCATATATTTTCATATTTGTCACACAGTCCCCAGCTTCCTTACTGCTGAAGTGCATAAACACCAACTTGACTGGGTTTCAAGCATCAGGAAACCCTTAAATTGAAAAACTAATAGTTTATCTTTTGTCCAAAACTACCAGATAAAAAATGGTAAAGAACATTCACATCCCCTTCACTTTCCTAAACTTCTACCTGTAGCTGCCAGAACAAGGTAAATGGAACAGGACAACTCTTGCTCCCGTGTTCTAGAAAGCCCGGCCCTCCATTCACAAGCTTTCTAGAGCATCAAACAAGCAGCAGTGAAGACCATTTTAAGGTTTCAGGAATCAATACTTTCATTACAAAACATACTAGAAAAGCAATACTAACTCAAGGCAATTATACACCACTTATACACACACACAGTACCCATTATTCAGACAGACTTAAGGCAGGTTTAAGGTGCACAAAGGAGGCACCATGAAGTAAGCTATACTGTACGGTAGGAAGCAACAGCACATTTGTGCCATGTGAAGTATAAGGCAATTCATCCCTCAGGCACAGAGATATAAGCTAACTCAGTTTTAATTTGTTCTGTAGGTACTTCCAAAAAGACATCACACCTTCAGAGGAAAAATCTACCCTCGTGGTGCTTTTCTAAGTCATAATCAGAAACATTTTTTTCTCCCTCCTAGACAGCAACAAGCCCTATCCCAGTGTGACATAGTAACAAACTGTGAATCCAATTAAGTGTATGATTATACAGCAGATTGCAGCACAGTATGTCATTACTTACATGGACTAACTTGCATACAAGAAGCAGAGCAGTCACAGAAACTCAGCACTCCATGCAGATTGACCTGGGCACATTAGGGACTGCTGCCAATGGGGGTGATGTATCAGCACATGCCCAGCGAAGAAAGACTGCAGTCACCAGAACTCCAAAGTCTAAAAGAGATACAGAAACAAATTTGGGCAAGTCTATTGCGTGGCAGCTGAAAGGAAGAACTTTTTCTCAGATCGCTGGTTTGCACATACACCTCTCAGTCTTTTTGGATATGGCTGTCAGTGCATTGCTGGGTTGCTGCATCTCTTTTCTGTGGAATATGCTGAACTGACAATACTTTAATGCTCCTTTTCACAGTACCTCTTTCAAAGGTACCTCTTTCAATTTTGTCTGTTTCTGACAAGTATTCCCTCTTTATCAAAGTACAATCCTGCAAAAAAAGAGTAGTTTTGGGGTGTTTGCTGTTAGACCATAAGGCTCTTAGCACCGAAGACTGACAGTGGCAGTGACAGTTTCTGCTAAATAAGCCACACAAAGCTGAGCTACGTGTGCAAATCTCCTTTGAATCACTGTAACAGAAATATACATGACACTAAAAGCAAACAGATATCATAATACTGAAATCAAAGAGCTGCGCGACCACAGTAGGGCTCGAGTAAATGTAGTTTTACTTCAAAATTGCTGCCATTATTACTGTTGTTTTGGACACTTAACAACAGGTAACACATTTCTGGGGAATTCTGCAAGCAAACACACACACTGTAAGATTGCATTTTCCTTTGTCCAGGGGAAGGAGGTTGGAATGGCCAGGGACTGCAGATAAATTACCAGTGAACAGATGGAAGAACATGCTTCGAAGTAACAGTGAGTCTCTCCACAAAATCAGCAAATGCAGTCTAAAATCTAATCAAAGAATATAAACATGCCCACAATAGCTACCATGTCTCAGCAGATGTAATTTATCTATGTTGGGGAAGTATAAAACAATTACTGGAATCACACTTGCTACAGGGAGGTGAGCTGAACATTGAAGAGGAATTTACATGCCTGTGGTTACAAGCATGAAGCTTTATGTAAAGCCTCAGTGTCATATTTTCCAAGCATTACCGACAAGACATATGACCTGAGCCTGTCTTTAAAACCTAATTTGTGATTGGTGAATCCTTTAGCAATTTGCAGGCTTGCAGTGTTGTTACTGCTTGTTTCAGGGTGGGGATAGAAACTCTTTATTGGGGCTCTTCCCTTTTGTTAAGTACATACAGGATCAGAGCAAAAGATTAACAAATTAGGCTGTCATGCAAACCGAACAAACACAACCAGGAAGAAAATAATAGTTCACCTCTTTCAGATGCCAAAGCAGATATCATAAGGAGACAAGTACAAGTAAAGAACAGGATGAGTAGAGGAGATTGGAGTGCCCAACAGAACAGCAGACCCTCTCCTTGCTTCCTCAGGGCATGCCAACTCTCTCCAGATCCTAAGTCTATCTTGTATCAGAGCCATTCTTCCTTACCACAGACACTACTGTGTTTCTCCACTTGTTTGCTGCAATCTTCATTGTTCCCAGCTTCTATCTTCTCTATCAAAAATTCCTCCCAAGTCCCCAGTGTTCCCCATAAGTGCCTGATGTGGTCTCTACTTTTACGAATCGTGAGTTTGCTGCTTCAGACTTGTGGTGCTCTACATTCTCTTTCTTTTCTGTCTCTAGGGTATGTACTGCCCAGCTTTAAGTGCTTTTCCCCATTTATACACTCTGAGTAGCTCCACACTTCCGCCCAGTCCTGGTAATTACCTGCACTATCCTTGGACTGTCACAACTAGCTATCCTCCTTACCTCAGCCAGGTCTCTCAGCAGAAGGAAAATCTCAGGTTCCTAGTTTGCTGAGGATTTCAAAAACCACTCGTTCACAGAACACTTAGCAAAAGACCCTGGAAAACACACTGTGCTGGAAGATGTGTGAAGGAAAACAGGCAGGCCTATGAAAGCTTAAATAGGGATGAATAAAGCTCAGGAATATTGACTAAAACCGGAGAAGAGTGTGATATTTCAGTCTTGCTTCAAAATGGAAAAATTGTGTTGTGATAAAGACACGCATAGTGGAGAACTGGTGAAGCCAGTAGTAAATCATCCAACTTTCCAAAAAATGTAATTTTTCTACCAATTCTTGCTATATTTTGAGAGGAACCCATACTCTGGACATAAAACAGATAAAACTATAATAATTATTTGGTTAAAAATTGCCAGTTGATCCTGGTTGCATTCCTCTCAACTTGAATAGACAGCTATACCTCAATGATAACACGTAAGTTTAATGATTCAAAAGGGTGAGTTCCACAAAGGGGGAAATTGAGGAAATTAATCTTGGTGGAAAAATTCAGCCATAAAAATGTGAATGAAAGCAGTCAAGCTGTTTTTCAAATTTATTTTATTCTTGATTATCACAGTTGCACCCCCCATGGCTGGTCAGAGCTAAATTAATCTGTTGGTGATAGATTAAATAATAGTCTGCTCCCTGATTTGTTCTCCCCTCAAAGAGGTTGATAATTAGCAGTCCTTAGTTTCTGTCACCAGATTGCCTCTTTTTCCTATTCTCCTAGACAATAAGGAAAAAACCTTTTTTATCTGTTAACTCCTCCTCCTAAGGTGAGTTCCTATTGCATATGTAGTAAAACAAAGTTTGCTAGAGCACAAACCCAAGTTAAAAAGCTTTCCTGGTTTGTGTAGGCTTATCATTGGGGCTGCCTTACCTTACCTTAACAGCGTATCTACCTGGAAGGGCTCAGAGGGAAACAAGTTACCTCCCTTTAGCAACTCCTGCAATATTTTACTGTGTTTCTTTGACAGATACACACTATGGCATTGGACTTGTGTTTGTTTGCAGATACTACTGAACTGAATGCCCTTGCTTCCAAAGGCTTGACCAGACTCTATCCATGCTGTTAGCTGGCTAGCACAAACCAGCTTCAGGCAGGTAATCGCAGAATCACTTTAGTGTAGCACTGCTTAATCTAAGAAACTTAACTGAGAAGCAGATTTATGTCCAGTGGATTCATAAGAGAAGCAGAACAAGGATGTGTTTCTTTTCCCCCTCTACCACATACACACCCTGACAAGATTTTTTGCATTGTCTGTACAACCTAACAAAAGAAAAATGGTCCATTTTTTTAGTGAATTCTATGTGTGACAGGAAGAATTAGACCTAAGTTCATTCCTTCCAAATTTTAATATGTAACTGAAATGCCTAAGTTAGAAAGTTAGAGGGCTTACGCCATCAATGAGCAGAAATAGTCACTTCCAAAGGACAACATAAAGAACTCAGGTGGGCTGAAACACTTCTAGAAGCAACCACTTCCCTCCAACGATTATAAGACAGAGCCAAGGCAATCCCACCGGTAATTGAGGAAACTCAGGCAGATGCCATGAATGTGGTAAGATGAATATGGACCTTTGCAGTCGTAGCTCATAACTACTGGAATAGTTAGTACATTGTAAATGAGTAGCTAGTACATTGTAAATTCCTATGTAAACAAACTCTTCAAATCGTTGCTTCCAGCATTGTGTTATGAGCATAGTAATTTTAATGGATCAAGTCAGTTTAATGGACTCTAGTCAGTGCTTTGAATGCTGTGTCTTCTGTTCCAGATCTTTTGTCTTTCCCCAGGCCTTAAGAGTGTGTTGAATATTCCACCTTTGCCCTGAGCAGGTCTGCATCACAAGTCTGTATGAAGACTGACTGTCTCCTGTGATTTCAAGGCATCTTCTAGTGTTTCTGTTGATTACTGCTGATCCCTACAAAAGAAAGGAAAATAAAAGAGAAGCTGCGGGCTTAAAAATTCAGTGGTCAGTTGGAAAGCAATTCTCTTGGCCTCTACAAATGTGTCTGACAAACACTACTAGGTCACAGATCAGAAAGAAAAGTTTTGCACTTTCTCCATGCCAATGAAGCACGACAGCTTTTGGAATTCTCCAAAGTCTATTACAATATATTCACAGGCTTATTCTGTTTCTGTTTTCTGAGGCTTTTTAATCTGTTTTGTGGGGTTTTTTACAGTTCAAAAAACCATTTTAGTAATTCTTATACTGTATCCTGTTCTGCAAGAAAAGGATACAAGATCAAGAGGATATTCACCTCTTATCTCTAAGTCAGTGTAAACTATTGTGAATAGGGTGGGTGTGACTAAGTCCTCTCATCACGCTGGAAATTACGATGTTTGTAAGGGGCTGGGTTACAGAACCAACAGGATCTTAATAGGTTCCATTAAGCACCCAGTTGTTTCACTCTAGTGATGTTTGATACACACAAATAACTGAAGATTTACTTTTAAGGTGGGTCTAAAATCTTTCAGAAACATACCTTCACCTTTTTCTAAGTTCTGTGGTTACAGACCAGACTAAGGGCAAGAGAAACTCTGTGCTAGCAAAATTGCTGGAGACTGTGTAGAGTCATATTATTTGTTATACATCATTGAAACCTTTGTCTTTTACCAATTCAATCCTAGTCTCAACCACTTTCCCAAGATTACTAGTCTCCTGACTAGTATTTCACTGAGAGAGGGATACAGTAAACAGGCCCACAGCTAATATGTAAGATTAATTACTTATTAATTGCATTAATTACTGATGAGTTCTGAACTGCCTGAGAAGGGAAAAGCTTCATGGCTTCCTTTCCTACCTCTCCCCTCCATCGTTGCTGCTGCTGCCTGCTTATGCTGCTGCAGCATCTGCCTTAGACCAGCTGACTGAGCACAAGGAAGAGATGATGAATGCAGAATATGAGATTATCACTTGGGATCTGAAGTATGTCAGTGTCAGTTGCCATAAATACAGCACAAATGGAGACAACTGAACTGTGCACCCAGCCTGATCCCTGACAAAGACTTCCACTCTAAGACTCTGTTGCTGAAGATGGCTCCAGAGAATGCCCAGGACATGGGAGTCAGCCTGCTGCTCTTTCCCCAAGACAAACCAGTCCCATGAGGAGGCTGGGAAGATGGATGGTAGACAGTGGAGAGAGTTCATAACTTATAGTCTGTTAAAACAGGAGACATCAGGGCTTGTGCATTTCTTATCTGTTAAATGAGCTCTGATAAATGAGCAAGTGAGACTTTTTTTAACCTGTCCAGCTAAAAAGTAAAAGGCTTTAGATTAAACCACTTGATTCCACCAAGACAGATAGATGGACAAATCAGTGGCTATGGCTCAGATAACGTGTGGGAATTGGTTAAATTCTGGTAGGTTAGTCAGTTGCATATGTGTGACCATCCCCTGGTTTTTAACCTCATACATCCCTGCAGACTCATTGACTTCATCTTAGCTCTTCCAGTGGCCTGAAATTGAAGCAACCCTATTCAGAAGCAAGTCCTTTTGCAAGGAAAGTGTTTAGGATTCCTCATAATGAGAAAGCTTACTGAAATGTGGGGATAAAGAAATGTACCTACTTGCTTAAAATCCCAATACAGGTTCAGGCCTCTGTTCACAGCTGTGTCACATTGCTCTAAAACTGGCAGGTCTCCACTCCCAGGGTCAGTTAGGCATCGATCAACTCTATTCAGTTGGGCACGTAAACCTCCTACGTATATTTCTCCAGTGCTGTGATAAAAGATGTGCTGAAAGGGAAGGTAACACCACTGACAATGAATTAAAATATCAAGGAAATCTCATCAGCACATGATAGCAAACGGTTCTGAAACTCACACTGAGTGAGCTATATTGGCTGTACAAAATCAGCATTCACTGCCTAGTAATTAAACCAGGAGGAATTTATCGTATACAAGGGACAACATCTTTCTCCTTTGCCCATAAACAAAAGCAAGGTGTTTGCAGTTGAACAGTAACCCTCAGCTTCCCTCCTACTGAGAGGACAGGCAGCAAGGTGTGAGGAAGAGCTCAGTCTCTGTCCTATTCAGCCCACTGATCTTCCGTTAATCAAAAAAAATCAGTCAGCATCAACAAGAGGTCTTATTTTTTCACTAGGCTAAACCAAAAGCCCCTGTTTAATGCACTTAGATCACCACAGGAACCTGCCCTCTATCACTTGGTTCGGGGGGTAGGGGACAGAATGGTAGAATTTACCGAAGTAAAGGTTATTCTTCCCTCCTAGCACAGAGAAGACAGTTTTGAAGTGCCAATTCCATGGCCCTGTGAGAAGTTAAACTTTAGTAATGGCTCACATCTGAAGATTTGATCAGTTGTTTCCATTACCTGTGGTGAGTATGCATGGCAAACATACATAATTGGTGTATTTCCAGGGACAGGACCTTGATCAATACAGATGTCTTCTTTCAATGTATTTCTCATCTACAGGATAAAATAGGAAATTTACTGTGAGGAACAGCTATTCTGTCTCCAACTCCTCACCACTAATTTTGGAAACTCTCCTGTGAGCAAAGCTATTTTATTCAGAGCCCTGAATCAAATCCTAAAGTGGAAAATACAGTATGGAGTTAAAAAAGAAACCTTAGACTACCTTTGCAGAAAATATTATCATAGCACAAATAAGAAGCAAATCTAAGGTCCTTCACAGACTCATCTACACTGTACTATTTAGCACCCTGTCAGAGGTCACCAGGCAGCTCCAAACAGGTGGGTACAACCGCTCAGCTCCAGTGAGATTTACAAGCTTGGGTCTAGAAACAGTGTAGCCATATCAGGAAGCCACTGAAACCTGGATGATTAATTTCTCTCTTTTGCAAATAATGGCCTGACTTCCACACTATTATCTTGATTTATATCTGCACAGCTCCCAAATTATCCTGCTAAACTTTTAATCTCAGCAGAAGAATTCCATACTATTCCATTGAAAAATGCAGACCATTACAACAAGATATTGATCCATTCTTGTTCCTCAGCTGGCAAGTTTGGCATGCAACAAAACAATGCATATTAAACACTTTCCCAAACTACTTTTATGCTCCTATAAGTACATATAAAACAACAAAAGTTTAGAAATTCTAGATTAGCAGCAAATATGAAAAAGATTTTAGAAAACTTTAGTGTCTATAAAGACATTTAAAAGCCTTTCTAAAATTTCTAAAAATTATATCACAATCTCTAAGCAAATCTAGAACTGTTCACAACAGTTTTTCATAACACTGGAGTTAATGAATTGTTCCATATTTGAAATAAGTGGACTCAATACTTACTGTTCCATAGGCAACAATGTTGGGCAGAACTGCTAAATTAGGGTAAACATTTTTTATGTACCAGTCAAACCCCTTACAGTTTAGTTTTTTCCTTAGTTCCTTTCTGGAAGAAACATCTCCAAAGTCTATTCCAGGATTCTGGAAGAACACCATACGTAATTTCAGCACATTAAGACAATCTGAGAAACTGGAGAAAATACACACTTCCTTTTTCATATTGACTACTCACGATATACAACGATATTCAAAGGTGCATTTGAACACACATTTTTTAAAATTTAGAAATTCAGAGCATGTTTTGTCTGAAGTTCCAATAAGCTACTGAAGAATTAACATGTTATAACGTCAGAAATGGAAAGAATATCAAAACTAGATACAGAGAGGAAGTAGTAGTTTTCCTATTTTATAGTGACATAAAACCTAGATCAAGGTGAAAAAATGAGAGAGTGCTTGTTAACAACCCTAGCTTGAACAACAGTCTATTGACTGTGGCACTTATGTCATAGGGAAGAGATCAAGATTCAAATTCTTATTTCAAGACTATGTGACTACTTGCACAAAGCAGAACAGCTCCAGCAGGAAAGCTGGACAGAAGTCATTCTTACAGGAGGTTACATCCTGTCTTTATGCAGTTCTTTAAAACACAGAACAAGTCCTTGGCCTTCATCAGATAGACAGTTTGGAAATTTTAACTTGGCTCTTGCATATCCCAAGGAAAAGTGATTGTTTAAGATGAATGAGCTTCTCTCCAGATCAGAAATCGATTCATTGTGAAAACTGGTACTTATGTTCCTATCAAGAGCTTCATTTTTGATGACCAACATTTTTGATGACAAAAAGGGTTCTTACCAAATACTTGCAGTAAAAGTCAATTAATGGGAAGGGGAAGTGGATTGTTTTAATGTATTAATTTATGCTATATATTTTAACATAACACATATTTTAGTATATATTTTGTTTCTTTAATATCTATTCAAGAAAACAGAAGAAGGCAGGAGGGTATCCTTCCTTTGTTAGAGACGCATAAACCCATTGAAGTAAAGACTTCATGAGCTTATTCTTCTTAATGGAAGATATTAATACTCAAAAAATGGTGCTGAAACTCCTAGTACTTTCAACAATTTGTCAGCGGGGAAGTTAAAACCATATTCAGAATTACTGATTATTAATTATTTTTAATTAAAATTGAAAAAACATAGTAATTTTAAGGACATAGATTATCTCTAAAGGAAAAACAGCAGTGTAAAAAAATTTTTGTCATAAATAGGCAAAAAAACCATGAAACCTGAACATTGAATGAGGAAATTGAAAAGTTCTAACGAAGAAGCAAACAGGAAGCTACTTTCATAAGGTTTACTTTGTACATGTTAGTTAGGGTTTTGACATGGGATATTGACATGGCACTACTGGAGGGAGTCCAGCGGAGGACTACAAAGATGATAAGGGGACTGGAGCATCTCTCCTCTGAAGAAAGGCTGAGAGAGCTGGGCCTCTTCAGTCTGGAGAAGAGACCACTGAGAGGCCATCTCATCAATGTCTACAAGTATCTGAAGGGAGGGTGTCGAGAGGATGGGAACAGACTCTCCTCCGTGGTGCCCAGTGACAGGACAAGAGGCAATGGGCAGAAACTGAACCACAGGAAGTTCCATCTGAACCTGAGGAAAAACTTCTTCACTGTGCGAGTGACAGAGCACTGGAACAGGTTGCCCAGAGAGGTTGTGGAGTCTCCATCCTTGGAGATATTCAAAACCCGCCTGGACGCGATCCTGGGAAATATGCTCTAGAGGACCCTGCTCGAGCAAGGGCGTTGGACTAGATGATCTCCAGAGGTCCCTTCCAACCTCAGCCATTCTGTGATTCTGGGTTAAGAATACCAATCCAGATGAGAAATCAGTTTCCTGGGATTCAGTACATGCAAAACTGCATTAAAAATCACTTTATATGTGTGGTGCCTTATGTAATTCACAATGCTGTGTTAACAGATTGTATTAAGAACAGCATCACATTGAAGAAAAAATTAATACTGAGTTTTCAGTTGTATCTATGAACACTGATAATTCAGAATTCTTAATTTCCTGGGGAAACAAAAGCAGAACTTCAAAATGCAGAGAGGAGAGCTCACTTAAATAGAAGTTGTTGCGTTTTTGATGAAGAGTAATTGAATTTTCTATTCGAGGTTCAATTTTGCCTATTTAAAAGATATTCAGGGACATCTAGATCATTACAGAAATTTTCTTTCACAAGAATTTGTAAAGATTCCCGGTAAACTAATGCTTTCCCTTAAAAAGATAAAATATATATCAACTGATTTGATTTTGAGTTCTTTAAGTTAGCTATCAGCTCTTAGTCTGTAAATATACAGCACTTAGCATAAGAAGAACACAGCCATGATTGCAGATGTTGGATGCCATATGTAAGAATAATTAACATATCAGTATTAATAACAATTTTTACAGTGAATCTCATAACCACTCCAGCCTGCCTCTTGTCATATGACCACTTGCTCTTATTTGACCACTTTTAGACTATGGATCCCAATGTGAACTACAGGGAAACTCCACTACCTCCACTGGAAGATTCCATGCTAAGTAGACCATGTACTTGTAGTCATCCATCCACACTTCCGCCACCCGCAAGGCATTCCGTCTCATAGACATACTCAAGTCTGGCAAATAAGGCTTGTGAGCTCTTTCCAAATGAGCAATTCTTGAGCAGGGCAATACTTCAATTTTCCCTCCGCACTGCCAGGCCTGGATTGAGAAGAGAGAATTTCTGGTAATGTTACCTGGTTACTCAAACTCTTTTCACTTATTGTTAGAATGCTCCTATTTCTCCTCTCATTCCTGTACCAGACTCACTCATGCGCTCTCAACATTCAAAGCCCTGTTTCCTGACTTGAGTGAATAAAGACAAATTTTCAATATCTTTCATTTCCACTGTATGTAGACCTATCATAGATCCAAGAGAGTAAAGGAACGTTTTTTTGTTATTTTTCTTTGGCATCATCATCAACAAAACTGCTCACTAGTTTCCATTTATAAGGCACTCAGAACCATTGGCACAGATGTACTATGGCACACCAGTGTAAATCTCCAGATGATCTCACTGAGAGCCAGACAGCTAAAGACTGGTGGATGTGGGCCTGAATCTTTCAGAAGTAATGATATTACCCAGAAGATGCCAAGGAAAAAATTGGTCCTGTGGAATCTTAAAAACTAGAGAGAATTCAAGAAGTAGTGGTCCAATGGATTCATAGAACATGCCTACACCGCATCCACAGAGATACCTACGCAGACTGCAACCTATGCTTCAAAAGCACAGGAGGTCCAGCACAAACACATCAAACCTGACTGTGCATGTGCCATTGCAAGTGTGGAAGCTCTTCAAGAAACCAAAAGCTTGGTACAGCACTGGATCTGTGCTGATCTAAGCTTAAGCTGAAAAGTCCACATGGCACTGCACAATGCACACATATTGAATTAGCTTAGACAGCATCACACGATGCTCCATTGCATGGTATAGACTTCCTTCACATCTTCAGATTACATTTTCAGGGCTGATAGCCAGCTAAAGAAAAACGTAAGAGACTGTTTGCTTGCTAACTAAGCATTTTTGATACAAGAAACCCTTGGGATTGAAATAAACAAAGGAACCTCTACTACCATTTTCACAGTCAATTTTCAGAGCAGCTGTGCATTTTAACTGAACTGATTCGCCATGGCTTTCACCTCCAACACTTGTGTAAGTGACTACAGAGTAGACATACACTACCTGTACTGTGAATGGTTCAGGGCAATAGAGAATAAAGTATAAATGTATTTTCAAGCAAGATAACTGATATATTAATTCACCATCTGCCTCATCTGATGTGAGGTGATGACATGTCACATTTCTTACAGACAGAAACTGAAGCATGGAGTCTTTGGGCATCTCCACTATGCATAATCGAGAAATGTGTTAACATCTCCAATACAGCATCAACCCAAGTTAAAAAATACATGTGACTCAGCATGCTATCTGAGACAGAATGTCAATTTACAGAGGGGCTCCATCTGTGCTATCATTTAACAGAGTTGGAAGACAGTTACTCTATCTCCTCTCCATCATTTTTTCCACAGACTAAACAATTTCATTTTCTCCAGTCTCTGCTCTAATGTTACATGTTGCTAGACCTCTATTCATTCTCCTTCAGACTCTTCAGTTGTTCCCTGTCTTTCCTGACATATGGTCCCAGAACTTCAAACACTGCTCCAGCTGAGGCCTTAGCAGAAGAGGCTAATCAATGGCATCATTCCCCATCCAGCCCTGTTGACTCATACACAGTAAGTATGAGTAAGTAAGAACTCATGGTTCTTTTCTAGCTAGATGTTCCTCAACCTATACCACTGTAGCTGATTATTTTTCATACTTTTACTAGCTGCTGTTTCTTTTCTCCTATGCAAAAGCCTTGCTACCCATCACAGAGAAAAAACAGACTTGTCTGATATAATTTGTTTAGAGAAATGTATGTTGTCTATGTTATCTCATATGTGCTTACAAACAGATATCAGAAAAAAAGAAAAAGCTATAAAGAACATAAGAGAATGACCATACCGGATGAAAGGTGGATCTAGCCTAATAGTCTATATGCAGCAGGGACCACAAACTAATGCCTGGGAAAGAGTAAGAACAAGGTAAGTATGGATAATACTTCCCGTAGCCTCCAACTATTTTCAGCTCAGGGGACTTTCTGCAAGTTCCTGTGGTTCACATGTGTTTAATAATTCTCAGAAGGCTTTTCTTTCAGAAAACTCCTCATTCTCTCCATGAATACTTGCAAGTTTTTAAGATCCACAATATTCTTTGGCAAGAAGCTCCATAGGTATGTTATTTTGAACCTGGTTACTAACCTCTTTAAAAGCTCCCCAGCTTGCATAGAATTATCCAAGCTTACCCCCTGCCCCGAAATTGAAATCTTGCTGACAGGTCTATAACTCTCATGCCCTACCACTTGGTTTCTCTTCTTTATAAAGATAAGTGCTATGTTCATTTTTTTTCCTCTTAAGTCTTCTAGAATACCTCCCACCACCATTACTTTTCAAAAATACTTGTTAATAGCATTTTTAGTACTCTAACAAATTCTGTAAGAAATGAAAACACTCCAGGTGAAACTCTTCCAGCAGAAGAGGCATCCATCCTTGAGCTGATGACATCCAAAGACGATGAGCACATTATTTTCTAGGTCAGACAGACTTGTTGCTGTTAAAAAATTTTCCTAACTTCATCTACCTTTACTTAACCTGTTTTCATCCTATTCTACTGCTGAGCCAAAAGACAAAGTTTGCAGAGAACTCATCTCATGATTCAGTATTCTCCCATTGAACCAAGTTTTCATGCTAGGAGCCAAACGTCTTAAGAAGTTTCAACAAAACTGTGCTGCTGAGCCTTAAAGACTTCTGGAAATCTATCCACTTCCCTTGGTATCCAAAATAAACTAAGTTATTCTGAAAAATTATCCCATGCTTTGGGCAACAACCTGAGTACTTTCAAAAACCATGTACCAATTTTCACTGCTTCTTTTAGAAAAAAAGTGAAAAAATAGATTTACCCTCAGGCCAAGTTCGACATTTTCTCCTCCATATATGTGCATTCCACCATCCAGGACACCAATTTCACCTAGAAATTCTCTATGTGCAACAAGAATCCCCATTATAGATGGGCTCCTGGAGAACAAAAAGGTAAAATTAGAAAGAAGCAACAATGATGGAAACAAAATAAAGTCGGTTAGCAATCAATCACTGCTTAGACTGCCAAAAGGATTCCAGTTGTATTTCAGAGTAATAGGTTAACTTAAAAATATCATGCAGATCAGTAGGAAAGAGTCCAGATAACAACAAAAACATAATCGATGGCCTAAAAAGCATGATCTGGTATTTTTTAAAGAATTGGATCTATTTTGAGAGGAGACATAGCAACAGTCTTCAGATAATTAAAACAAGAAGAAAGAATCAGATAAAACTGCAGCGAGGTTAGAAATTAGGAAGCTTTATCTAACATTAAAGAAGCTAAAACACTAGAGCTGATTGCCAAGGGGGACTGTGGAATCACTATAAATTGAGATTTTGAAGGAGAACTGAGACAACTCTTTAGCAGGAACAATTTTACTGCTGTTGAATCCAGCCTGGATTTTGGGAGAAAGGGGACTGAAGGTGGACATGGTGCTCTTTTGGGAGGATCTGGTCAATGCAAATAAGTGTCTGCAAAGAGGATGAGGACAGACTCTTCTCAGTGGTGCCCAGCAATAGAATGAGAAGCAACAGGCACAAATGGAAACACAGGAAGTTATATCTGAACACAAAGAAGAGTTTATTTACTGTGAGGGTGGCAGAGCATGGTAACAGGTTGCCCAGAGAGGCTGTAGAGTCTCCATCCTTGGAGATGCTCAACATTTGTTTGGACAGGGTCCTAAGCAATGTGCTCTAGGTGACCCTGCTTGAATAGGAGGGTTGGACTAGATGATCTGCAGAGGTCCCTTCCAACTTCAATAATTCTGTGATTCTGTAATTTTTTAATATCCCCATCCTCTATGACAAAACCTAGTTCTACTTTTTCTGGTCTAAAAATTGTGACCTACTCATGAACCATTCTTTAAGCTATGTTTGGTTTTCTTTCATTTCATTTTCCTGCCTGAATCATCAATGTTTACTATAGAATGCTTTTAATGCACACAGGCTCCAATTTCACACATAGCTCTTTATCTAGGCATCTGTGTAGCCTTGTCTCCAGTGTTTGGCTACCAAAAGTAAGAGTACAGAAGAGATGAAAGATTCTTTACTTATGACAAACAGAGCACATGATTTTGTGATGTTTTCACAATGACTTGACTCTTCAGGATTTATACAGTACATTTTTAAAGTCCTTTACATAAATAAAACAGAAGTGTCTTATCTGTTGCTGCGTTTTTTTTTAATATTGCTTTACAGATGGTTATTAAGAGCTAAGGGATTGTAAATAACATTTGACATCTGTATGAAACAAGGAGACAAATGCTTTTATGTACTCAGCAAAAGATGGTGGCTGATATCACAGTACTTGCAAACATCTCATGTTGCATATATAAAGCAACTGAGCAGTTAAGGGAGATATGGGAAGCACAAGGAAATAAACCTATCAGCAAAGGGCTGCTTTAAATAAAACAGCCATATGTATTCCATTAATGTCTTTTTCTTACTTTTGTGTACTCCTACTCATTGAGTGGTAATGGTTGAAAAAGGGTGCACAACGTCATCACAATCATACATTGCCTCTGCATCTCTAAATGAAGAACTTCAGTGCTTGAATCCATGTGAGTCTTCACAGCTGGGACATGCAATTGTCCAGTAAAGCTGTGAAATCCAATCCAGATTTCCTGGACAAGCGTAGAGAGGGGCCACAGTTCATCCTGGACAATTCATAAATATTGCTACCACCTTCTCGGGTAAGGAACATGGGACAGAAAAGTTAAATAACTTGACCAGAATTTCCGGAAAATTTGACAACAGGATTAGCACAGAAGAGATTCTGGAATACAGCCGATACACTGAGATTTTTCTGGCTGCTGAAGAATCCTCATATTCATTTCAACTGTCTAGACATAATGTGCTTCATAGGTATCTATCCCACCACCTATGAAACCTCTTCTTCCCTCTGCCAGCTCTAAGTTAGATATCATGTGTCCTATCATGTATCATAGCTCCTTCTCAATGCTATTCAAACTCACCGAACTGGAGCTGTTTCATCTTTGAGAGCGTACCATTCAGGTGGTAATGGTTCATAAAGGCACCAGAGTGCCCAGTCAAATCCATCCATGGCCACTGAATACTGGAGAAGCTCAAAGTCATCGAAGCGAATATTGTCAAATACTGGTGATACTATAACAGTATGATCTTCTTTTATTCGAGAAAGGATAGGTTCAGCCCTACCAAAATTAACAGAGTCTAATCACCTTGAAGAAGTGAAAGTCTTATGAATGGCACTAAACTGTACAACCTCTTTGTAAAACTGGGTTAGCTTGTTTATTTAATCATTGATTTGTTTTGATTTAATCATCAATTTTTGCCTCTACAAAAAAAATTACGCTGTTCTTCGAGCGCTAGTAATACAATTTGCTAATGTCATGGCTCAATTCTCCCTTCCATTAGGCAACTTTGCCTTTTGATTGTCACTTATTATACTAACCATAACCTCCACTCCTAACTTGCTGGGCTGTATTGCCACTTGGGCTTGCTCCCTACAGACTCTAGATGTTCTTCATTATCTGCACAAAGAGACAAAAGGGGAGGCAAAAGGGAGGAAAGCGTAGCCTGAAAGGTGCTTTAAGCCTTGAGGAAGATCTATTTCCCCTCTCTTCTTGTGCCTTGATGGCATGGCTGCAGTATGAAGGAGGAAGAGGCCAGTACAAGAGAACGGGACAGCCTTTTTTGCTGAAACCCATACTGTTTTTAGGCCTGGAGGAATTCAATAGTCCAGAAGAGAGAAAATGTAGAGATTTAACACAAAACAGCACTGTGAAGATCATTACCTAACAGAATACAAATATCCATCATTAGACACTTGTTTTGTCTCTCGTTCCAGAGTCCTACACAACTGTGATACACTATTTAATTAACAGGCAACAGTAATTAAACATTCTAAAAAGCCAAAATTGTAATAGGAATCAAACCAATTTAAAGTCATGGGTATTAAAGCTGCCTAATAAACTGATACAGGGCTAACAAAGTTGCTGGTACTAGAACCAGCATTCTCAACCAGCATTCTCACGGTATTTCACGGCAAGAATCTTTTTTCCTAGAAAGGTAATGAATATATAGAGACAGTAGGCATCGCTGTCTTGCTCTTCAATAAACAGCCTACTCTGTTACCTGGCTGCTTTGCTATTTATTTCAAACAATTTTACCCCTTTCCCTCTCAAAATAATGACTTGGTGGCTGCCAATTAAGGTGTGGTTTGCGTACAGATGCTTACCCCAGCTATATAGTTAAACTCCTTGTCCTCCTTCTCCCCACTCCAAAAATAAATAAATAAAAAATAGTCCTGTTAGTCTTACCATGCCGTGTTTACTTCAATATGAGCATCTAAAATTGCAACAACATCTGCAGTTGACGCCTCCCAGCCAGAAATTCGGGCTTGTGTTAGGCCTTCTCTTTTCTGATGTCTTATAATTTTCAGCAGTCCAGGATGCTTTGCATTGTAACTTTTGATCTGTGCTTCCAAAGGTCCTTTCAGATCATCTAAAAACAGCTCCACATATTTTAATGATTTTTAAAAATTAACAGAGGTCATCAATATTAAGAAATGGAAAAGATTAGGTAGGCAACTGCTTTCTAGCTTCTCTCGGTTCCAGACTGAATATGCCTGAAAGATTCCTTACAATAGAATAGCTAGAAGAAGGAGAATTAGTCACATCTCATCAGGCAAGATAAAACAGATTTGCCTGCCGTGAAAACTGGACAAGACAGAACTTCCACTGTAGTCAAAAAGAAAGAGGTAAGACCCTAACAATGCAAAGGTGGTGCTGGTTACAGTCCATGACAACCTGTTTAGTTTATGATAAAGTTAAGAGAACCTACTGACCAGCTCAGAGTTTAATTGCAATGAAAAATCATGGGAATAATTTAAGATCTCACAATATGAGACAGACTGTAACTAGGGTAATTTCAACAGACATATATTGTCCATAGAGCACCCTGAGACCAGGGGCATGACTGTTTCTTATAGACCATTTTCCAGTGTTTTGCTCAGTCCAATTCTAAGAGCAAGGAGGCTCCCAATTACTTCCCTCAGGAGTCCCTATACACCACTCTTCAAGAAGTTTAGATGCTTACAAAGACAGCTTCCTTAGCATACTCTCATTTTTTGTTCCTTACTTTGCAAGCTTGTGATGGTAAAAAGTCTCCAACTTCACTCTTTAAACTTTACAAATACTTGCAGACCCTCACCATGTTCCTTATTAATTGCCATTTTTCAGGCTAGTAAGGTGTTTTTTTTTTTTTAAATATACTCAATTTACCTCTGAATTTTGAGAGGTCTACTCTGTGTGGCTCCAAAAGGCCAGATACAGTCATTTAAGACAATAGTAGCATAAATGAGAAAGATCCCTGCCTTCCCCAGGTCACTTACCGTATGAACTGTAATCATCTACCAGGATGATTTCTTTCAATAAATGAGGTGGTGTTCGATTAATTATACTAGTAATTGCACGTAAGATGATTGACAGTGCCTCATTCATAAATATAAGTACAACACTGAGTGTTGGAAGGTCTTGAGGATATGTTTTCCTTTGACAGCTGTAAGAGAAAGAAAACAACTTTAGTACATTTTCCAAAGCAAATCAGAGAGCAAGGCAGCTACAAGGCGGCAGAACTGGCACATTAGGCTGAAAACATATACTGAAAGTTAGTATAAGAAAGAAGAGGGAAATCCCCAAAAAAACAGTTTCACCTTTCATTTGAACAGTGTTATGCTGAGAATGTAAACTGTTGGAGTAAAGTTAATTTCTGTAAAGATAAAAACAACTATTACTGTTTCTCAGTCCTAAAGGGTTATAAAATTTTGTAACTGAAGAAGTAACCTCACCAGAGATGATTAGCTCACAAAGCAGTGGATATGTGAGTGAAATTTGGTTTTTGGCTTCCACAGAATGAGATGACAGTGGTCAAACTTGGAAGGAAATAGAAGCAAATTAGATCATATTTCATTTGTATATGCAACGAATAAGAGCAAGATAGGTATAGCTGTACTTACGAGGTGATGTGAGAAGAGTAACTTGGACAAGGGATCTCTTTAGGAAATCATTGAAAGAGCTTCAAAAATCCTTTTTACAGAGTAAACCAGTCCTTGTGGAACTCCATGCTACTCTCCACTAGACTGCTTTCAGTGCAGAAACAAACTTGTACCATGCCAGTTTGAGTACCTCTGTAGTTCCTGCTAACCCTGCCTGAGCACCCCAAGGCATGCTGCACAAAAAGCACTCCAAAAACTCACTCAGGAGGCCACAACACAGCCCCCACATTACTCCAGACACTTTGAACTGAGAAGCACATACAAAACAGTCATTATGACTTAGTGCTGGAGTTAGGGCTTGACCCAGAGCCCAGAGGATACCCACAGTCAAGAGCAATGTGACACTGTTCACTCTAGAAGGAGCTAGTTCCCAGCTGCATGATGAGGAACCAGAAGCTAGCAATGTAGGGGTCTGCTTCTTCAATGGCTATACTGGGTGGGGGGGCAGTCCCAGGCAAGAAAAAGTTTAAAACTTGGAAATTACCTGAATGTTATATAAGCCTCTGGATATCGCAACATATGAGAGACTTACAAAAGACAATATAAAAGACTAGAGCAAAACAAGCTTCAGATGTCTTGCCTTTGGGGCTTAAATAAACAGAGCAGAAGGTCTCATATCTTCTGAATTTTTTGCTTATTTTTTCCCCCTTTTTCCTGACTTTCGAAGTCCTGTTTCAGTTATAATGCTAATATTCTATTCTTTTTTTCTAAGTAACTTCTCTACACTGTGACTTCTTTTAACACTTTGGAGTATTACCTAAAATCAAGAAATACTTAGAAGAAAGCCATAGAAAAAATTCTAAACAAACATAGCATAAATCTAGATATGTTTGTAGATTATTTTAACTTAGTCCAAAGCAATGTAGATCCCTTCCCTTTAATTTTATGTTGCCCTTATGAAGGTAGAGAGGGCTTATACTGCACCTGGGAGATCTGGTGTCTTTAATAAGTCGATCCAGAGGTAGGCGATCACTGAGATAAACATTATACCCATATTTTAAGAACAGATTCTGTGCAACAGTTTGCTCCTCTTCTGTTAAATCTACACCCCAGCGTTTGAACAGAAATGAATCTGGGAACAGCAAACGATGTACACTCTTCTTTTCCTCCTTTGCATTTCCAGCCTGATGTACTTCAGTCTTGGAGTTACTTTGCGGTTGGTGATCATATTTTATTTGTTTTATTTGTTCATAGAACTGTTCCACTGATTTTGCTGATTGAAAATGAAAGTGGATTAGTTATAACAGCAATTGAGAATATTATCCATCATAAATTAGCCACATCATCCTCACAGTGAAGCAGGTCAAGAGATATGTGAAGTCGTGAAGTTACTGTTAGCCTGAAATTGGCATGACAGTAGCATTAGAGTCTCTCCTACATGAGAAAAATCTCTAAACATCACATTCCACAATACCATGGGCTAGACTGCCCTCAGTTGCACCAGTGTAGAGCTAGTGGCACCACAGTGGTATCAGTGGAGAAATATGGAAGTAGAGGCAGCACACAAATTAAATTTGACCCAAACCATATCCATGACGTTTGACTAGCATTAACCTATCACGGATCCACAGTAGGGTTCCTGTCTACATCAGGATGATTATATCACATTGGTCTTAAAGGTAAATACCATAAATGAGCCCTTTGCCCTCTCTTTTGATAAGCTTATTGGAAACTTTGGAACATCATCTCTCAGGGTTTTGTCAGGTTTACAAGATATGACTATGCCATAACTCTCCTGATAACTCTCCTCCCCTCCAAGTTTATTATGGACTACCTTGAGAAGAATATCCTAATTATTTAACCCAAAACAATGACTACAATAATTACCAGATAATAAAACTGGTAAAATGGAGGGATAGGCTCTTCTCCACAAAAAGCAGCCAGTCAGTCTCCAACACAAACCCATATTTGTCTTGCTCTCTGTCAGGCTGTGTATGAAAAAATTAGCAGCACTGCAAGGAGATTCTCTCCTTAAGAGAGAACACAAATGCCACTGAAGATAAAGTACCATCATAGATTTTGAGCACTGAAGAAAATGTATATCCTAAAAATACTATGTGTCATGTTATAATAAATTACTACCCAGGATCTGACATTTTAGCACTAAAATATTATTTGAAGTAGATTTAGCAGCATCTAAAAGAAAGTTATGAATAAATATAAATATAGCAAAGATAGTATTTTAGAAAAACATATCCAGAAACAAATTTTAAGATCTACTTCATGCTCAGAATATGTATTGCAGAAGAAAGGCCCTGGTTCTCATGGGGGACTTGAACCACCCTGACATCTGCTGGGAAGGCAGCACAGCCAGGCACAAACAGACCAGGAGGTTCCTGCAGAGCACTGAGGATAATTTCTTGACTCAGGTGGTGGAGACGCCAACGAGGAGAGGTGCACTGCTAGACCTTGTACTAACAAGCAAAGAAGGACCGGTTAGAGATGTGAAGGCTGGGGGCAACTGTGGTTGCAGTGACCGTGAGACATGGGAGTTCAGGATCCTGCAAGGAGGGAGCAGGGCAATAAGTAGGATCGCAACCCTGGACTTCAGGAGAGCCACCTTTGGCCTCTTCAGGGACCTTCTTGGAGGAATCTCATGCGGTGGGGCCCTAGAAGGAAGAAGTGTCCAAGAGAGCTGGTTAATATTCAAGCACCACTTCCTCCAGGCTCAAGAGCAGTGCATCCCTCTGAGTAAGGAGTCCAGCAAAGTGGGCAGGAGACCTGCATGGATGAGCAAGGAGCTCCTGACAAAACTCCAACAGAAGAAGGAAGTACACAGAATGTGGGAAAGGGGACAGGCCACTTGGGAGGAATACAGGAATATATTGTCAGAGTGTGCAGGGATGCGACAAGGAAGGCTAAGGCCCAGTTGGAATTAAATCTGGCAAGGGATGTCAAGGACAACAAGAAGGGCTTCTTCAAATAC